TAGCTTCCAGTCCAGGAGGTGATGTGTCATAGTAGAGAGAACATGGGTGTTCAGTGCACTGATTGACTAGGCAAGTAGTTAGTTGAGCATCTACTTTGTGCTAAGACCTGGGGATATGCAGTAGGCAAAACAGTCTCTACCCCTGCAGAGCAAGCCTTCACTCCTGCAAACGTGTATTGAGCGCCATTCTGGTAGGTTGAGAGGACGAGGTGTTAGGACTTGCCCCAGGAAGCCTGCAGTCTTTCCAAGAGCATGAGGTGATTATCCAGAGTCGTGGGTGGGGTGATAGAGGTGTACCCGGGAGCTGTGAGAGCCCACGGAGATACATCTGAACTGTCCTGAGAGATCGAGCTGGCTTCCTGGAGGAAATGAAGAGGCCTGAGTTGTTTTCAAGGCTACGATGTGATAGTTGAGTGAAACAGGTAGAGATAAGTCAGAAACATATATAGGACCTCAGAGGACAGAAAACTTGGGTTGAGCCTGACAGCCCTAGCTTCAGACACGGCCCTAGCACTTTGATAAGTACTTGCAAGGGTCCTGTGACAATCTTGGGAAATCATAGTTATTCTTTCTCTTACCAGCACCTTCACCGTTCCCACTTTCTGTTATAGCACCTGAGTTAACAGATACTTGGGTAAAACCATTTTGTAAAATCCTTGATGTATTAAATATGCTATTGAAATTTGCTGCATAAGGAATCAAATTGTAATTTCTAAAATATCCATATAGGCTATATAATCACATTCTGAATCCTGTAGTGTAAATAAAAACTTCATATTTTTCTGTGTATTGATAACTAAATAATATTGAATGTTATAATTTGATGCCAAAATCAGAGCTCATTTGTTCTTTGGGGTTTGGGGCCTGGGTGACATTCCAGATGTGTCATGGGCCACTCAGCCACCCAGGGCAGTGATAACTATTAGTCCAGATGGGCTTCACACTAGAGCCCTCATTAGTGACCCTGCAGTTTCTGCTCATTCAGGCATTTCGTGGGCTACAAGCAGGTAATTGGGTCCCTGAATGGTGGGTCCAGTTGTGATACAAGTATGTTAAAACTAGGATATCAAAAGCAAACATGAAAAGTATATGGTTTAGATTCATTTGAATTCATACTTTTAATGTATTTTCTAGGTTAACCACTAAATGCAGAGAAGGGGGAAAAGTGAGATAAAAATGCATAGTAAATTTTTCAAAAAGGCAAAAAGAAACAGAAAAAGAAATATTGAACGAGCAGGGCAAATAGCACAGAACAAGAATGTAAGTTTAAATGCAGATATATCAGTAATTATGTTAAATATTCCAGTTCAGTGACAAAAGTTGTTAGACTAAATAGGAAACCAAAATTCAATTCTGTGCCACTTAAATATGATATAACAATTGATTAAAAATGTATTTGACAAAATTCAATATCCTTTTGGAATTAAAAGGAAAAAAAAAACACCGGTGAACAAGGAATGGAAGGAAGTTCCTTAATCTTGATTAAGGTTATCTAACAAAAAGTGTATAACAAAAAATACGATATTTAATGGTGAAACATTGAAAGCTTTCTTATTGAGATTTTTTTTAAAAAAAGACAGGAATGCCCATTTTGACCAATTCAATTCAATTTTGTAATGGAGATCCTAGCTAATAAAGTAAATCAGGAATTATAAATAAGTTATAAGGTTTGAAAAGAGGAAAACAATACTGAAATAGGGTGTGTGGTGTTGTGGTTAAGAATGTGGCCTGTAGAATTGGACAGTTTTGAGTACAATTCCTGGTTCTGCTACAGTCTGTGTAATTCTGACAAGTTGCTTAGCTCCTCTGGGCCTTATTTCCTCCTCTGCGTAATAGGAATACAGGGCCTACCTTGTAGGAATGTAACAGGCTCAATAATAACTGCTTGCTGATAATAATAACATTTTTTGTTGATCTCACCAGCTGCATTAAACCAGAAATCTCCAGGTGATTGAAAAGTGTGGGAAGGACAAGGGACTGCCACCCCCTCTTATCTATCTTCATTGTCCTACAACTCCCTAACTGTCAAGGTTGAAGGCCAGAGGGTCGGGCTGTGTTTGGGGGCAGCACAACACTAGGTAATGTGTGTGGGCAGTTGCTTCACTTCTATCATTCATACTTATGTGGACAATCATAGAATTGTCCTCTTGAACTTTATCGCATGATTTTGTAACAATATAATAAAACAGGATGATATTTCAGTGGCTATGTGGGACACTCATACTAATGTTATTTTGCTATTGAGGACACACACCACCTTAGTGTGTCAAACTACATTAAGTGGTGATATACTATAAAAAAAAAAACAGTACTTTTAAAAATCTATTAAATATTCCCAAGAAGAACATAAAAATATCCAGAATGAAAAGAAAGCAAAACCTGCAGAAAATGAAATCAGTCATTATTTTGTTTTCTGTAGCATAGCAGTTAAAAGAATGGGCTGTGGAGTAGGACAGATAGGCAAGTAGTTATCTGTTGCTGTGTAACAAATTACTGCAAAACATAGCCACCTAAAACAAAAAAAATATATCTATTATCTCATGGTTTCTGTACGTCAGAAATGTGAGCATGACTTAGCTGCGTGCCTCTGCCTCAGGGCCTCATGCTGCTGCTATCAAGGTGTTGCCGAGGCCGCGTCTCAGCGGAAGGCTCAAGTAGGCCAAGACCCCCGTTTAGGCTCGCTGGGGGGGTGGCTGGCGGGTTTCAGGTCCTCGAGGGCTGTTGGTTGGAGACCACCTCAGTTCCTTGCCCCATGGGCTGCTCCATAGGCCAGATCAAGTAAGTGAGGGAGAGAAGGTGTGCACAGCCTTTTTGTCATCTCATCTCAGAAGTGACATCCCATCACTTTTGCCATATTTGATTGGTTAGAAGCAAATCACTAGCTCTAGTCCACAGGGGAGGGGTTTTTACTAGGGCATGAATACCAGGAGGTGGGGATCATTGGAGCCATTTTATAGGCTGCCTCCTTCATTCTGTCCTCTGGCCCCCACTGATTCATATCCCTCCCACATGCAGAATACACTCACCCCCTCTTAAGATCCCCATACGTCTCACCTCATTATAGTATCAGCTCAAAATCCAGAATCATCTCATCCAAATCAGGTCCAGGTGGGGATGAGGCTTTTGAAGACAAATCTCTATCATCTATTGGTGTATAACATATCACCCCCAGATTTGATAGCTTAAAACAACAAACATCTCACAGGAGTGAGGGATCACTGGGGCCATCTTAGGGGCTGCCTACCACCACTGTCTAGGTCAGTGATGGCGAACCTATGATACACGTGTCAGAGGTGACACGCGAACTCATTTTTTTGGTTGACTTTTCTTTGTTAAGTGGCATTTAAATATATAAAATAAATATAAAAAATATAAATCTTTGTTTTACTATGGTTGCAAATATCAAAAAATTTCTATATGTGACACGGCACCAGAGTTAAGTTAGGGTTTTCAAAATGCTGACACGCCGAGCTCAAAAGGTTCGCCATCACTGGTCTAGGTTCACATTCTTATTCTGCCACATACTAGCTGTGTACCCTTGGGCTAATCACTTCCCCTTTCTTGTGCTTCACTTGTTTTCATCTTTAAAATGGGGCTAATAATAATACTTACCTAATAGGGATATGATGATTAAGTGACATAATTTGTAAAGTAATTAGCATAGTCCCTGGCAAATAGTAAATGTTCAATAAATGGTAGTCATTTATAATTAATGTTATTAGAATTGTTATTTTTTTAAATATATTTCTTTATTGATTTCAGAGAGGAAGGGAGAAGGAGAGAGAGATGGAAACATCAATGATGAGAGAGAATCATTGATCGGCTGCCTCCTGCACGCCCCCTACTGGGGATCAAGCCCGCAGCCCAGGCATGTGCCCTTGGCCAGAATCGAACCCGGGACCCCTCAGTCCGCAGGATGATGCTCTATCCACTGAGCCAAGTCGGCTAGGGCTAGAATTGTTATTTTTTATTTTTATTTTTTTTCAAAGAAAAAAACTTGAGCCCTGGCCAGGTGGCTCAGTTGGTTGGAACGTGATCCTATACACCAAAAGGTTGCGTGTTCAATCCCCAGTCTGGGTGCGTATGGGAGGCAACTGATCGGTGTTTCTCACATCGATGTTTCTCTCCCCCCCCCCCCCCCCAGAAATCTGTGGAAACATATCCTCAGGTGAGGATTCAAAACAAAACAAATAAAAAACTTGAAAAGCTTTCTTAGAATGTAGAGAGAAAAAGATATAGAGAGAAGATGCTAGGCTCTGGATACAAAGGGTGAGAATTCAACCTAAAACTAGTCCCAGTGCTTCAAGGAGTCCAAGGAGATCAGAGCAGTGGTTAAAGTTTAAAAAACAAAAACTATTAAACAAAAAGGTGTTTGAATCTGCTAATTAAAGTATTTCACATGGTCAAAGCACAATTAGAATATTGGGATAAGGTTGGGATTTGCGAGACAGTTTAGATAAGGACCCGTGGGAATAACTGGATGAACCCTGTAGTTGGACCTGCTGATTAGTGACTGCAGGCCAGTCCGGTTTAGAAAGTCACAAAGGGAGGCTGTGGGCACATGGTCTTTACAGTTAAACACACAGCTCCAGATTCAGGCCGAGTCTGGACCAGCTTTAGGCCTGAGCAGGATGCATCCCCTCTCTGCTGTACTGTGACCAACTTGAGGAGGAATAGGTCCCTTGATTTTCTTAGCCCTGTCTCTGTACCTGTAGCAGGAATAAAGCAACGCTCGAGTTAGAGGATATCCTAGAGCCCTTTATGCTGTAAACATGGTTCAAGGTCAGGGCCGTATTCCTGCTGTTCCCTACAGTGTGTGGACGGAGTAGGTTCAGTAATTATGGTTGAGCTGTACCCTTGTGGAAGTGGAACTCGAGTTGTAAATGTGTCGTCCTCCCAGTCTGGCCTCCACCCCAACCTTGCCTCTCATTCTTCCCATCAGGCTAAGTGCAGGAACATGGTAACCTACCTTCTTGCCTCTCTCTCATTCTTCCCATCAGGCTAAGTGCAGGAACATGGAGCACTCGCTGCGGGAGAAAGCCAAGGCCTTCTGGGCCATGCGGCGCTCTTATGAGGCCATTGCCAAGCACAATCAGGTAAGTGAGTGCTCCGGCTGTGTGGAACAGTGGGGCCACCTAAGGCCATCTTGCGGGTAGGTGAGGGGGGCTGGCCCTGGTCATGGCTGTTGACACAGAGTCGGCCTTCCCCAGCCCTGACGGTCTAGTACAGCCATGCTCTCAGACTCTGATTATGGCTGTGCTGCCAGGCCCTCTTTAAATACCTGTGCATGCCATGCCAGTAGCCACAGGAGTGGCTTAAAAGCCACCTGCACTATGGTTTCAGACTAACTTAAGCATGTGGCACACTTTTCCATCTACCTGAGTACTCAAGCCAGTGATGACCTGGGCTCATTAGTTATTACTCTTTCCCGCTCTCTCTCTGTGTCCACTCCATCAGCAGTTCTGTCCCCTCTATCTCCAAAATACATCACGATCACATCCATCCTACACTCCGTATCCACTGCCACCATCCCAGTCCAGGTCACTGTCTTTTCTCACTTGCCTTCCTACCTGAGCCCCATGCTTCCTTCACTCTTTTATGTTGTTGTTAATCCTCACCTGAGTATATTTTTTTTCATTGATTTTCAGAGAGAGTGGAAGAGGGGGAGAAACAGAGAGAGAATCATCAATCGATTGGTTGCCTCCCGCACGTGCCCCACCCGGGGCCAGGGATCGAGTCTGCATCTAAGGTATGTGCCCTTGACCAGAATTGAACCCAAGACCCTTCAGTCTGTAAGCCAATGTTCTAACCACAGAGCAAACCAGCTGGGGCACTTCCTTCCACTCTTCTTCTGCAGTCCACTCTCTGCAGAGTGACCTGCTCTTTTAGAAAATGCATCGATCGTGTCACTCCTCTCTTTATAATTGTCCAATGGCTTCCATGACCCACAATATAATCCAGACTCCTCACCATGGCCTCCAAGGCCCTCATCCAACACCTTCCTGCTCCTCAACTTCATCTCCTCTCAGGCTGGCCTGTGCTCTCAGTTCCAGGCACATTGGCCTTCTTCCTGTTCCTTAAATGAGCTAAGTCTTCTGGCTGTTTTTTTCCTGCCTGCTCTGTTTTTTATCTTCCTGTGTGATAAGAATCATCCCAGATTTCACTCTCTCTTCCACTGTACATTATCAGACTTTTTAGCTTGATATTTCAATAGCGCTGTCTCACTTCCTTTGCATTTCTTGGATTTTTACTAAGTTTGTACATCCTTTCACAAGTATAATAGCCATTTGCATTCCTTGGAATATTTATATTTTCTCCTTGTGGATGCATAAGAGCACTTTGTATATTAAGAATAATATGTTCTTATATATATTTATATATGGGAAAATATTTTTCCTACTTTATCTTTTCTTTTTCAATGAAATATTTTCACTTTTTTTGGTCATTTTCACTTTTTCAGTGAACCATTTTATCATCAGATTGTCAGAGCCATAAACATATATTGAATTTTCAATCCAAAGATATGGATTACTGCCCTAACTGGTTTGGCTCAATGGATAGAGCGTCGGCCTGGGGACTCAAGGGTCCCAGGTTCGATTCCGGTCAAGGGCATGTACCTTGGTTGCAGGCACATACCCAATAGGGAGTGTGCAGGAGGCAGCTGATCGATGTTTCTCTCTCATCGATGTTTCTAACTCTCTATCCCTCTCCCTTCCTCTCTGTAAGAAATCAATAAAATATATTTTTAAAAAAAAAGATATGGATTACTAACCTTCTATTGCTAGAGCACACATTTTGAGGTGTTTTTCCGATAGTCATCATGAACTGTACAATTTGTATATTTTAATCAATAAGTATTTACCTTTATTAGTATTTACCTTTATTACTTTTTTTTACTAACCTTCCATTGCTAGAGCACACATTTTGAGGTGTTTTTCTGATAGTCATCATGAACTATACAATTTGTATATTTTAATAAATATTTACCTTTATTAGTATTTACCTTTATTACTTTTTTAAAGCTTTTTGTGGTTATGATTAAGTATGCATATTATTAATGATTCCAGTTTTTGTTTGTTTATTGATTTAAGAGACGGGGGCAGAGAAACATTGATTTGTTGTTCCACTTATTTATGTATTCATTGGTTGATTCTTGTATGTGCCCTGACTGGTGATTGATCCTGCAACCTTGGCATATCGGGATGACACTCTAACCAACTGAATTACCCAGCCAGGGCAATGATTCTATTTTTAAATAAATATTTCCTGCTGCTCTTTTGGTAAGCCTCTTGATCAAACAAATTTGAAATCCTAAGATTGGAAAGCAATTAATTGTTTTTAAATAGTTGCTATTTGCATCAATTCTTTTCTGTGACTCAGGATTTCTTTTGCTGTTGTGCAGCTTAAACAAGATACAGAATATTATATATTGAGGAAGTTACAAGACCACAGTTGTCATATATAAGCAGCAATTTCAGCTTTTAAAAAATTAATCAAAAACAACTTCATTATGCTGTTTGACTTATTTCAAATTTAAACTTGTAAATTAGTGATAAGAAAACTTCATCTATATTTTATCCATTTGGGTTCTGCATAGGTTTCTTTTGAAAGTCGAGTTCCTTTGCTAAAAATCTGAGTCACTGGGCTAGGTGACAGCTTAGGTTCCCTCCACAGTCTGATCCTCTGTGCCTCCTTCCCGCTCTCTGCTGCAGGTGGAGGCTACCTGGCTGGAAAGGAGAATCCGGCAGGAGTTTGAAAAGCTTCGAGAGTTCTTAAGAGGGGAGGAGCAGGCCATCCTGGATGTCATGGCTGAGGAGGCGAGGCAGAAGCAGCATTTGGTGGAGGAGAAGATGAAGCAGCTCAAGAAAGACACAGAGACTCTAGCCCATGAGATTGAGCGGCTGCAGATGGAGATGAAGGAAGATGATATTTCTTTTCTCATGGTGAGGAGCTCATCATCTCAGTGACAGGGACCAGATGTTCAGGGACCAGTGGGAGCCTGAGACCAGCAGCCCCGGGCAGCCCAATATGTTTTTATTGGGGAGAGAGAGAGAGAGAGAGAGAAACATCCATGTGAGATTGGCTGCCTCTTGGATACCCCCTACTGTGCCCTGACCGGGAATCAAACCAGCAACCTTTGGGTGCATGGGGCAATGTTCAACCAACTGAGCCACACCGGCCAGGGCTCCCATACGATTTTGATTCGCATTTCCCTGATGGCTAGTGACATTGAGCATCTTTTCATGTAGTTGTTGCCATTTGTGTGTATCTTCTTTGGAGAAATGTACATTCAAGTCCTTTAGCCATTTTAAAAATGGGGCTGTTTGTCTTTTTGTTGTTGAATTGTAAGATTTTTTTAATATATATTATGGCTACTAGACCTTTATCAGCTATATAATGTATAAATATTTTCTTCCAATCTCTGAGTTATTTTTTCACTTTCTTGATGACATCCTTTGAAGCACAGAGACTTTTCATTTTGATGAAGTGCTCCTTAACTGTTTTCTTTTGCTGCTGCTTTGTGCTGTTGGTGTCATATCTAAGAAGCCATAGCCTAAGCCAAGTTCATGATTTTTCTAGTTTTATCTCTACGTTTAAGTCTTTGACCCATTTTGAGTTAATTTTTTAATACGGTGTAAGGGAATCCAACTTCATTCTTTTGCATGTGGATATCCAGTTGTCCCAGCACCATTTGTTTAGACCATTCTTTCCCCATTGAATGTTCTTGGCACCCTGTAGATAACCAATTGCTGGTAAATGTGACAGTTTATTTGTAGACTTTCGATGTCCACTGGTCCATATGTCTATCCTTATGTTAATACCACACTAACTTGTTTACTATTGCTTTTATTAAGTTTTCAGTAGGGAAGTGTGAGCCACCAGCTTTGTTCTTTTCCAAGATTGTTTTGGCTATTTTGGGTCCCTTGAATTTTCATATGAATTTTAGAACAGCTTATCAGTTTCTGAAATTTTGATAGAAATTCCATTGAATCTTTAGATCAGTTTGGGGATTATGGCCATCTTAATGCTATTAAGTCTTCTGACACATGAACATTGGGTGTATGGCTCCTTTTGAGGTCAGAAACTTACATGTTTTCTCTGTGTCTATGTTTGTGTCTGATTTTTTCTCTTTCAGAAACACAAGAGCCGAAAACGCCGGTAAGTTGCCAGGGTTGATGGAGGGGAGGGAAAGAGCAGGCAGAAATACCTGGGGTGCAAACTCCAGTGGCTCCAGGGCCAGGCATGTAATAAAGCCAACTGGGTGTAAGACAGAGGGCGTGATGGGGACTGGCCAGGTGTACAGAGCCCTCTTTCAAGGCATCCCACTGGTGCAGTGTTGTTATCCACGGGGTAGGGAGAGAGAGTGCCATCCTGCGCGTGGCTCATAGTTCTCAGTAGGTCGTCCCAACATTTAAGCTTGTTTCTTGGTCAGCACCCTCCCTCCGAGAGCCTCTGGACATATACTGGCTGATGTTGATGGTTTAACTCAGGGATGAGTAAGGAAGAACTGTGTCTCAGGCAGAGCTGTACGAAGATGGAAGAGAGTGCTTTGGGCAGTAGTGAGTTCCCTGTCATTGTAGGTGTTTAAGCAAAGGCCAGTGACACCTCATACTGTTGGACTAGAGGGCCTTTATGATCCCTTTTGACTCAGACATCCTTTGAGCAAATGTGTGAGTGTAATTTCTGCCCACAAGGAAGGCAACCATGTCTGAGTACCTCCTATTTATATTTATCTCAGCTGGGGCAGGATGAGCCCTAATACTGAATCTTGAAGCGGTATGAGCTGCCCAGATGGTTCCTGGCTCATCCTCTCATCAGAGCCCAGTTTAGGTTTGTCCTGGGTGAGGTGGTGGGGAATTTAGGCCTGTGACAAGGGAAGAAGTCCTATTGTTTGTTAAATCCAGCTGACCCAGTTAGGCCCAGATGCATGACCCCGGCCCTGCCCACCAGACCCAATTCTCCCTCCCCAGCCTCTTCTGCACCATGGAGCCAGAGCCTGTGCAGCCTGGCATGCTGATCAACGTTTGCAAGTACCTAGACTCCCTGCAGTACCGTGTCTGGAAGAAGATGGTCATGTCTGTTGAAACTGGTGAGTGGGAGCGCGCGCGGGCAGGTGGTACAGGCATGGGAGGCACTTCACGCAAGGCAGAGAGCTCGCTAAACTCACTTTCCTCACTTTCTCCAGCCTCGTTCAGACAAGGCCCCAGTGCTGCCTTGTTCAGACAGGGCCCCAGCACCCAACTCCTCCTCCACTCCTTGCCCCACTGCTCTTAGCAGGACGCCTTCCTCTTTGGGTCCTGACACGTGGCCACCTCTTCAGAAAAAGAAACTGACTTCCCTCTATTCAGAACTGGATTGTGTATACAAATCTTCCTCAGTTAAGAATTGCCTCTTTCAAGGTGATTCCAGCCCACACGATCACTAGGTCATGTGCTGTGGCTGAATGTTTGTATGCCCTCCTCCCCCACCCAGATCATATGTTGAAGCCCTAACCTTCTATGTGATGGTGTTTGGAAGCAGGGCCTCTGGGAGGTGATTAGGATTGGATGAGGTCATAAGGGTGGTGCCCTATGGTGGGATCCGTGCCCTTATAAGAAGAGACACGAGAGAGCTGACTTCGTCTCTCTCATTCCGTCTTGTGAGGACACAGCAGGAAAGTGACCATCTGTAAACCAAAAAGAGGGCCCTCACCATAACTTGGCCATGGGAGCACCCTGATCTCGGACTTCCAGCCTCTAGAACCATGAGAAATAAAGTTCTGTTGTTTGAGCCACCCAGTCTACGGTGCTTTTGTTGTGGCCGCCCAAACTGACTGACTCTTATAGGGAGAAATGTCGGTGACCCAGGGGATGTTCCATGCTTTTCTAAGGCGGCATGGGAGTTGTGTGAGCATCAGGATCCCTGCCTGTATTGCTCCCGATGGCTGACATAATCAGACTGCAAACTGGATGTCTTAAAATGGCAGAAATTCATTCTCACATGGCCAGAGGCTAAGAAGTCCAAAATCTAGGTGTCAGCAGGGTCCTGCACCCTCTCAACCCTGTGGGGGAAGATCTTTGTCTCTTCTTAACTCCTGGTGTTTGCAGGCAATCCGGGGTTGGGGCCACAGCACTTTTATCTCCACCTTTGTGGTCACATGACCTTCTCCCCTCACTGTGTTGCTTCTCTTTTTTGTAAGGTCAACAGTCATTGTATTAAGGCCCCACTATATTCCAGTCTAATTACATCTGAAACAAATAAGGTCACCTTCTGAGGTACTAGGGGTTAGGACTTCCACATATCTTTCTTAGTGGGGCACGTTTCAACTCATAACCCTGTCCCTCAGCCCAGGGCAGCTCCCTCCCTGCACTGGGCCAGGTGGGACACCGTTGGTCAGTCTGGGGGGCCGGGGCATCAGCTGGCATGGCAGAAGGGCAGGATGTGAGGTTCCCTGATTTACCCCACTCTCTCCCTCTGCTCTCAGTGCCCTTCAGCTTTGATCCCAACACCGCGGCGGGCTGGCTGGCTGTGTCTGAGGACCTCACCAGTGTCACCAACCACGGCTACCGAGTGCAGGTGGAGAACCCGGAGCGCTTCTCCTCGGCGCCCTGCCTGCTGGGCTCCCGCTCCTTCTCCCACGGCTCCCACGCCTGGGAGGTGGACCTGGGGGGGCTGCCCAGCTGGCGGGTGGGCGTGGTGCGCATGTGCCTAGAAACTGGCCCCGAGGGCTACTCCCACAGCTGCTACCAGGACACTCGCTCTGGTTTCTGGTACCTGTGCCGCACGCAGGGAGTGGAGGGCGACCACTGCGTGACCTCAGACCCGGCCACCTCACCACTGGTCCCCTCCATCCCACGCCGCCTGCGTGTGGAGCTGGAATGTGAGGAGGGCGAGCTGTCCTTCTACGATGCGGAGCGCCAGTGCCACCTCTACACCTTCCATGCCCGCTTTGGGGAGGTGCGGCCCTACTTCTACCTGGGGGGCACCCGGGGGAACGGGCCCCCCGAGCCTCTGCGCATCTGTCCCCTGCGCATCACTGTCAAGAAGGAGCTGGATACCTGAGGCCGGCGGGGAGCCTGCCAGGTGCTGCCCAGGTGTTCTGCCATGGTCCTGCTTTCTTTCTGTCCCTCTTTCTCAAGCCCACACTCACCTGGACACCTCTAGGTCCTGCTTTGTTGCCAGGATCTTGCTACTAACTGTCTAACCCTTTTCCGTGGCTCCAGACCCCAAGCCCCCCTCTTCATTTTTGGTCTTTTCTGTGCCCACAGTTGAACGTCATCCAGGAGATAGCTTACTGGCCAGGCTCTCCCCAGAGTCCTGGCATCTTCGGGATGTGAATTTCCTTCCTTCTAACTCCAGGATTTCTGGGGACAAAGTTTGCCGCTAGAGTAAGACCTGTTTTAAAAATGTTTTTAATGTAGGTTTTATTATTCAGGTATGATGAGGCCAACAGACAAGAGTCAGCTGCCGCTGCGAAGAGTTTGTACTTATTGTTCCTAAGAGGAAGGGCCGTGCTATGGGGTGGGGGACACAGAGGGAAGCACCAGGTCCCCCTAGGACAGTGGTCGGCAAACTGCGGCTCGCGAGCCACAGGCGGCTCTTTGGCCCCTTCGGTTTGGCCCCTTGAGTGTGGCTCTTCCACAAAATACCACGTGCGGGCACGCATGTACAGTGCGATTGAAACTTTGCGGCCCATGCGCAGAAGTTGGGATTTTGTGGAAGAGCCACGCTCAAGGGGCCAAAGAGCCGCATGTGGCTCACAAGCCACAGTTTGCCGACCACTGCCCTAGGAGGCAGAGGGAGTGACGGGGGTGCATAGGCAGGAGACTGTAGTGTTTTCACAGGAAAGAACAGATGAGGCAGGTACAGGGTGGACAGGTTTAGGATTGGTTAGTGTAGCTAACCCTGGGAGAGGCAGTTCCCATAGTCAGTGAGCTCCAGATTTCAGAGTATCAAGAATGTAGAAATATATATATATATAATACAGGACCATGGCTGTGGCTTTGGGGCAGGACCAGGACTCGGCTCACCTGTCACTTTAAACCAGTATTTTAACACTGCCTCACAGAGCCTCCCTGGGGGTCCTCGAGGCCCGAGGCGAGGATGCCCATCAGATCAACTCTGATTTAACTCTTTATATTTCTTGGATGATTTCCTCTGAACAGAGGGTTCCAGAGCACTTAAAAAACACAATTTTAGAACCATGGTTTAGGCCCGTTCCCTCTCTGGTCCTGGGTTTCCCCGTCTGTAAATGAGGCAGCAGGACTGGAGGATGATGTGCTTCCGTAATTGCTGTGGAGGAAACTCCTCGTCGCTGTTACAAAGGTAGGAGAAGGGGAGGAAAGGGTGCAGTCCGGGTGCGCAGGGAGTGAGAAGGGAAGGAGATACTCGTTCTTGTTCTGCTGCCTTTTGTGTTTTTATCCCGATTTCTTCTCCCTCTGCCATGCCTGCCGGATATGTACCTCCATCTTTTTTTCCTCGTGCATGCCTACAGGTAATTTTAATGGTTGAATCACCATGTCCTGGGGACAGCATTGTAAAAGGAAAATAATTTTTATAGTAGCGATGTTCTCACTGGGGGAGTGCGTTCCTGACCGAGGATTGACATTCTTTGTCCTGCCTGCGCCCCCGGTTCACAGAAACGGATATTTTATACAGACATGATGACTCAAAACTATAAATTGGTTATAAATGTGGTGAGTACTTTGGCAGGGGCCACGGGAAGGACGTGGTAGGAAATACCGCTGAGTAAAGGCAAGCAGGTTGGGAGTGGGGATGCTGACACACTCGTGAGCGGCCCCTCCAGAGGACTCAGACTTGGAAAAGCTCAAAGCACTTTGATACTAAACACGTGAGGCCAGTGCGCACTCTACAACAAAGTATTTATCAAGCCCTTCTAATATAATTTCCATGTAATTATCTTGACTGGAAGTTTTGTTAGTTATAGTAAACTTTTAAAAATGTTTTTTATTTCCATCTTACATGTTGGGAAAGTTGTGTGTTTTTACAGCTTGATTTGGATAGGCTAGGTCCCTTTTATGAAAATAAAAATATTTGAGCTAAAACCCACTTGTTTTGACATTTTCCTTTTAGTGTTCTCGTAAGCAAAAGTTCATCCATGTTGTAGCATGTATTCAACTTTATTCCTTTTTATTATTGGAATGAGTGACCCCACTCCTCCCTCAGCCTGGCCTGTGCCCTCTCGCAGTCCAGGAGCCCTTGGGGGATGTCTGACTGCTGGCTTAGGCTTGCTCCCTGAGTGGGCCTAAGCCGGCAGTCAGACATCTTTAGCACTGCCGCCACTGCTGCTGCATTCCCCAGCCATGGGCCCGGCTTCTGGCTGAGCAGCACTCCCCCTGTGGGAGCACACTGACCACCAGGGGGCAGCTCCTGAGTTGAGCGTCTGCCCCCTGATGGTCAGTGCACATCATAGCGACCGGTCATTTCATCATTCGGTCGATTTGCATATTAGCCTTTTATTATATAGGATAATATTCTGCCGTATGCATAGACTACATTTTAGTTATCCATATATCTTCCCTTGAACCCTCTCCTATCCTCATCTTCCACTCTCACTTGTCCCTGGTTCACTCTCCTGCTCATTACTGCATTCTGACTGAAGATGCAGCCTCTGCTTCTCCCAACTTCAGAACGTTGTCCGTTCTGCTGAAGGTTCCTTGGTGGCAGAGCTGCTTTTGCTGTCCTCCCTCGTCCCATGTGCTGCTGCCAGACATTAGCTTCAGTGTCACCTGTCATCTGAGTGACCCCCACTCCTCCCTGCCCAGGTACAGTTAGTCCTCCAGGGCAGTGTTGGGAGCTCATCTTTCTCCAGCTCTGCCTTTGGACCCACACTTCCCTGCCTTCCATCACACACACTCCCCCTTCCGGCCGGGCTTCTCCTGACCCTCCAGACCCAGCCGCCTGGCTTCCTGCATACAGCTGGTTGTTTGAGTTGGAATGTCCTGACATCGGTTCTTCTGTCTGTTCTTATTATATTGGCTCCACCACTTCCGTGCTGTGTCTCCTTGGGCACACACTTTACTTTCCTGAGTTCATGTCCCCATCTGTAAAAGTGGGGCAACCCCCACCTTGTAAAGGTCTGATGCAGCTGCCTGCACGGTGCTGTCCCACGTGAGCACTTCACAGTGGCAGCCATTGGAAGCAGACAAAGGAGAACATGTATGTTTCCCTCATTGACCACCCCCCCTGTCCCCCCCCTGCCTAACTCCCCATCACGCCCACATCAGCCACCAGTTATGTTTTGGGTCAGAATTAAGTGTACTGTGGGCATCTTCCTTGCTTCCTCTTGTGTGTGGTGGGTGAGATTTATCTCAAGAATCTGTTGATGAGAATACTGGGAATCTCTCGTGACCCCCGTAGTTTGTGAAGTGGCAGTACCAGGATCTTCAGCACGGAGCGACTGTGCCATCCTGGGGTTTACCCTTCAAGTGACATTCAGAGCCCTCCCCTGCAGCTCCTACCCACCTTTGCCACCATTCTCTGCACAGACTCTGCCCAGCCTCCCAGAGCCCCAGGCACATGCGCATCCCTGGGAGCTGCTTTGTAGTTCTGCCCACAGGGCCTGTGCCCTCCCAAAATCTGCCTTCAGTTGTCCTTGAAGTGGTGCCTTCTGAGACCTCCCTGGGCTGCCACTGCACGTTGTCCGTTCTGCTGAAAGGTTCCTTGGTGGCAGAGCTGCTTTTGCTGTCCTCCCCCATGGAAACGAGTGCAGGAAGCAACCCTCTTCATCTCCTGCCAGTTCCAGATACGCTGCCGGGCGTAGCAAATGCTTACTGAGTTGTGTAGCCGAGGTCAGGGAGGCTGTCGCTGAAAACTCCACAGGACCGGCAGCGTCTTCAGTAAAGAGAACATGGCCCAGAACCTAAAACTCCGTTTCCTGGTTCCAGATAACAACTGTATCAGGAGCTGCCTGGACCTTTGGAACCTCTGCTCCCATTTAGATGAGGATTACGATTTCACCTCAGGCTGTTGTGAGGATTAAATCAGGCAGTTCTTTTGGTATAAATGCCATGTGTGCTATCTTAAATAGTATAGACTTGATACGTGTTGGCTAATCCTTCGGAAAGTGGGAGGTTCTGAATGTTGATGTTGTGATTCACATTAATAAAGAATCCCAAAGGAAATTGAAACATCTAAGTTATCTGTATTAGGAGTGCCCCAATTTCTTGAGATTTTTAACAAGGATGTGTACATAAAACTTATGTTTATGAAAAATTTCAATAACATGGGAAATGGTTATGTTGTAATAACCAAGAGAAACAGGATTCAGAGTTATGCCTACAGACATTCAACACACACAAAAAAGACAAGCGGGCCCTGGCCAGTGTGGCTCAGTTGGTTGGAGCATCGTCTTGTGCATCAAAGGGTCACAGGTTTGATTCCCAGTCAGGGAAATACCCAGGTTGTGGGTTTGATCCCTGTTCTGGGCATGTACAGGAGGCAACTGATTGATGTTTCTCTCTCACATCGATGTTTCTGTTTCTCTCCCTTTCCCTTCCTCTCTAAAAGCAATAAAAGCACATCCTTGGGTGAAGATTTTTTTTAAAAGACAAGTGGGATCTTGTCTCTAATTTTTGTGTACTATTTGATTAGATCATTCATTTATGTGGCTGTAAATTCCAAAAGTACAGAAAGTACTAGAACAGTCTCCCACTTTTTCCCATTCAGCTCCCCTTATTGTAGACAATCATACTACCATTTAAAAAAATCCTTCCAGATAGATTCTGTGCACAGTAATATTGTTTATTAGTATATCTGATTCTCCCAAAACACTGTAATTTAAAAGCAGATATTCTAGATCTGTAACTCTAAGCAACCCAACAAGAGGAGAAAAATAAGGGATATTAAAATAATTTCATCATGGGTATCTTCATGTAGTGAGTTCCACTGGTGGATTGGGCTTTTTGTTCTTGTTTTAATTATTTCACCTTAGGATTGTTGTTTTTTTTTAAATATATTTTTATTGATTTCAGAGAGAAGAGAAATGGAGAGAGAAGTAGAAACATCAATGATGAGAGAGAATCACTGATTGGCTGCCTCCTGCATGTTCCACCCTGATGACCAAGCCTGCAACCCAGGCATGTACCCTGACTGGGAATCGAACTGTGACCTCCTGGTTCATAGGTTGATGCTCAACCTCTGAGCCATGCCAACCGGGCACACCCTAGGGTTTTAAAACGGGGGGAAACTAGGTGGAATCTAGTTGCTCCTGACATTAGAAGATAAACCTTAAACCTGAGACCTCAATTTACATTTAGAAAAGCTCAGTCCTCACAAAAATATCTAGTGACCTAAATAGGCTAGTGGTTAGGAGGTTGGGATATGGGATTGGACAAGCTGGGTTCACTCACTCAACCACTGTGTGAC